CCCGACCAATCCCCTTGGTCCAGGATAACCTCTCAGGCGTAAAAGGCTTTGATTCATGACAATGGGGGGCATGAGGGTGTGGGTGCTGATGTTTTTCCCTCCCTCGAGCCGTCATCGTAGTCGCCGCCGGCGTCGACAACAACGCACATTGCTTGCGTCCATGCCCGCCCGCTTGCACCGCTCACGTCCACGAGCCCCCCCCTTCGGGGGGTTGCGGCTTGCTGGTGTCCGGGAACCGCTCCCTGTACTCGTCCAGCATGTTCCTCTCCACCTGCGAGATGGTGCAGCGGTCCTCCGCAGGGGAGTGCGCCGCCAGGCCGATCAGTTGGCGGGGCGCAGAAGGGGGAAAGGTGGTGCGAGAGGGGCGCCTGTCTCAGAATGGATCAACAACTTCTGTGAAAGCTGCTGGGATCCGTGAGGGTTTCTAAGACACCCCCTGCCTTCTCAGACCCCCCCCTCCCTCGCGCCAACATCCTTCGGCGCGCCGCCAGGCCATGCAGGAGGGTTCCCGGGATGGGCGTCCGCTGGAGAAACATGAGCGCGAGCAGGGGGCACACGCGGGAGAGAGCACAGGGGCGGAGGCGGGTAGGTCAGTTAGCGCCTGCAACTCGACTAAGAGCCCAGACATCCGACGATCTGCTTCTTCCAGCGCGCGGTCCCTTTCCCCAAGGTCTGTTGTTTTGCCCTGGATCCGTTTCTTGTTCTTGGGTCCCCAGAGCGGGCCACGGAGGCCGGAATGAGGGAAACATGCCGGGACTGAAATCGTCATATCGACGGAGATCTGGGAGGGCAGGAGGTAGTGGAGCGAAGGGAGACTGGGGCCTGAGACAGGAGTTGTTTCAATTACCTAGCTAACTGTTGAATTAATCAGTATTTCCAGGCTCTATAAGTAGATGGTAGCTGTCATTACCTGGGGTGGTGGTGGTGCACAGTGTAACGGTAACGCTTGTGCGAGGTCGGGCACGTCGGGTCGGGGGTGCGCTGCGGTCCCCAAAACATGCGTGCAGGCACCAACAAAGGTGTGTGTGTGTGCGCCAGGGATCCAGCCCCCCCCAACGTATGATCGCTAGCGCTTCCCCAGGGGGGGTGGTTGTGGCCCAGAAGATAAACAAAACACGATCTCCTGGAGGACACCCTCTCTGCCCCATCGGAGCAGGCGAACACATAATCGAACCGCTAAGTCGGATCGGTGATCGAGTGAATCGGATCGGCAGAAATCGGCAACCAATTCAGGGAAAATCGGATCGGCGAAATTCGGCAGGCTACGAACACCTCCGTTGAGAAATCGAGATCCAAATCGGAGTCCAAAATCGAATCGAATCGGAATCGGAATCCACCGAAATCGAATCGAAACGGACGAGTTCAAATGAGCCGTGAGTCCTGTCGGGGGGCGGGTGGGGGGGTCGCGCGCGCGCGCCCACTCGTGAGGCGGCGCGTCCTCGTTCAGTCATGGGGCCGCAGGATCGATCGATGATCGAGGATCGAGGATCCAGGCTTGATGGATCGAAGATCGAGGATCGATCAATCGAGGATCGTGTCGATCGACATTTCAAACGGACGCCGCCGCAAGAAACCCCCGCAAGAAACCCAACGCTGAAAATCCACGCTCGAGGTGCAGTTGAGGTTGAGGCCCAGAGCACCCCGAATGCATAAGTTTCTCAGCGCCCAGGAGATGTCGCCGCGCAGCACGCCCAGCAAAGAAGCTCAAGGTAATTACCTAATTATATGTTTGTCGTTGTTGATGCGATCCTCACCGCCTTGGAATTCGCCTACTCCCGCCTGTCGGGGTGGAAAGGCGTGTGAGACATTTGGCTGTCCCCCTCCCCCCTCTCCACCTCCCCTGGAGCCCCAGATCCAGTTTGAGTGGGGGTCCGCCCCCCGCGGGGGCTGGATCTCGCCATCGCACCCCTGGGGCCTCGTGAGGCTCCAAATCTACTGGGCGGTGCTGGAGGTGCCGCCAGGGGATTCAACACCGATGCTAGATATCCGCGCGGACCTCAAACTATTTACGTTTGGGAGGGGATGGGGAGGGGTGAAGGGGCGGACATGGCAGCAAGCTTAACGACTCAGCGGCGCCGACCAAGGCGCGAAGCGACTGAGACTGCGACTGGGACCCGCATTGCGAACCGTGTAGATGCCGCGGGTTGGGGCCGAAGCGCCCGCAGCAGTTTAAAGTATCTAGCAACCAATCGGTTTTAGTCGGCTCCAAGCATCACGTGCGGCACATTTCATAAGTGGATGGCGTCTCGCGCCGCCCCAAAGTGGGGGGGGGGGGGGGCAAACGATCACCGCTGGGCTGGGGCGGACCGCCGGGGCAATTGGGCAAGCGAGGTGCAGAAAATGCGGATTTGTCCTGAGCTCACCGCCCCAGCGCAAGCACAACACTCACATAATGAGAGCTCTTACTGTTGATGCATCTTGGGCCACCCCTTAGCATGGGGGAAACGGGTCCCGAAGGAATGGGTCCCGGACCCCAGGGCCCTTCCCTGGGACCAAATCTTCATCCTGAATCATTTTCTGAAAGGTCCTGAGGCCCATGAAGGGCCCCGGGAAGCCAAACATGGCGAAGAGCTTCAAGACCTGTTGCCCTCAGGACCCGCTTCCCCCAGGGCGGACGCCGGCCTTGACTCTTGGGCCCTTGAGGTGCCCCAGAAGTCTGAAGATCAAGCCCGCCTCGCGCGCTGCGCCGCACGCAGCTCGATCAAGCCTGCGGGGGGCGAGGGCAGCTCCCCGACCTGGGCCCCACGAGACGCGCGGCTGCCCGAGAGGCCCCTGCGACCGACCCGAGAATTACCCCGCGGGTGCCCAGGGCCGTGGGGGAAACGCCAGGGCGAGGATAACATGGGGTGAGGATAAATCGAAGATCTCTGAGATATGGCGGCTCAGAAGGATGTCTCCCACGGCCTGGCTTTTCCAGTTGGAGATCATGGTCGTTGGCTATGATCTCTGGGGAGAGGATAATATGGGGTGAGGATAAATCGAAGATCTCTGAGATATGGCGGCTCAGGAAGATGTCTCGGGCGCCGCGGCCTTCTCAGAGCGTTCCGGAACGCTCTGGAACGGATTTGTCCTCGTCCTAGCCCCGTCCGACAACGATAGGGGGGGGACTGTGACAAGGAAGCGTCGACCTGGAATCGGCGATACCTGGGCAGGTTGGGGCTATCGGGCTCCTTATCGGCGATGAATGGGCGATGGGGAGTCGATGCGTCCCTCCCTATGTCTATCCCCCCCATGGTTGCCCTCGAAATAAAATGAGAAGCCACCTGAGCAAAGCACACGGACGAATATCAGAAGGGGTGGAGGGAAGGGGAGTGGGGGCGGGGTGAGGGGGAGAGGCACCATCCTCGAGCGGGCACGCACCGACTGCGCCAGGGCGGATCTGGCGACGCGATCGCGACGATGGCCAGTACCCCCCCAGGGAAGCGTTATGAGGGGCGCCTGCTGGCTGGTCGAGACTCTCGCTTGGATGTTCCAGGTATAGAGAGCAAGCCACTCGAGAAGTCGCTTGAATCATCGGGACAAGAATATTCATACCATGTTCTTGTCCTCGCTCTGCAAGACGTGGGGGGCGACGGAGAAAGCTGGAGCGAGCGCACGATGGAAGCGACCGAGCCTCGAAAGCGTCAACGTTCACCTGCAGGTTCTTGAACGTGGGCACCTGCGGAGAACACCCCGAACCCGCCCGCCCTCAGCCCCAAGAGCGTCAGTGGCTCCGCTGGCGTGGGACGTGGACGGCCGATGCCCGCGCCACTGCTCCCTTAGAGGTCAGAGGAACCGCCTTCGTAATAAGCACCTCGATAAACTGAGCAAACGCACGATATGAAGGAGTCGTCATTGCAGGGCTGTTTAGTAACGCCTGGACTGTTCAATAAATGGCAATTGCGGGGACCTGGGTTTTCTTTTCTCCCTTGATCCGTGCTCCTACCTTCCGTGCCACTGCCCATGCCCTCCTCTTCGGACGTGGCCGGCAAATGCCCGCGCCACTGCTCCCTTCGAGGTCAGAAGATCCACTCTCACAGATGAGGTTGAGGAACACCGCGATGGCAACAAGCAAGCAAGCGAGCAAACAACCGATGATGGAGCCCCAGTGAAACGATGCGGTCCTGTCATGTCAAAACCTGCGGTTTTGAGAACTCTGAACAAAAACACTCGTCTGAGCGCCAGTCGACCCTGGGACACGCGCCCCGTGCCCGCGCCCGAGGGCGCTCTGTCCCTGCTCTACGGATTGCATTACGGCGGGCGCACAAGGAAAAATGTCCTTGATTACTTTTGTGGTTTCAGCAACAAAAATCGACGGCATCGGGAAGCTAGATTCCTTTTTCTTAATCCTGGCTCGAACCAGTGTTTGTTTGGCTCGGCCGAGCAGGGATTGATATGGACGCGGCAATCAATTTGGCGACATGCACGTCCCGCTCAGCGCTGAACACTAACGCGTTCTGTCGAACCTCCCCAGAAACGCAACACAACTGAAAACTCGCTGGCGCAACTTCCGCGAAGCGACGCAACAGGAATCGTGTGGAATCGCGAGGGCTTTCGGAAATCACAATTTTCCGAAACCACGTGGACGTGGGTGAGGATGTACCAGGCGAACGCAATGTGCTTGCGCTCGGTACAAGAAACACTACAAAAAGGAACTTGCCCGCTCGGCAACGCGGCCTGCGACACGCGCTGGGGAGTCCAAGCGGTGCGCCAACCAACGCCAAACAATCATTGCAATCGCCGCCGCGTGGGTGTTCCAAACCAAGTTGCGGGTGGGTGGGCGGGATGATTACGCGAGCAGTGGAGTCGACACCTCAGTGGGAACAAGCATTCACTGCACCACAGACATTGCACACCACATAGGCATCACTACATACATTGCACCACGTCGCTACGTGTAGGAAGAGTGCGCCACATGGGTTGCGCAACATATCTTGCACAGCGTAAGTTGCACAACGTTGATTGCGACACACAGATTGCACCAGCTTTATAGTGGGCAGGGCAGCGGTCTGCGAGAGCAGCTAGGTGAGCTGTCTTCGCATGGCGACCGAACGTTTCAGAAGGGCTGTGAGGCTGCTCGACGTCGCTCGGCGCCCACCCTCGGTTATAGAACACCCAATGGCGCAACCACGACGGAGAGGGCAGCACGGCAGATGCACAGCGCCCAACACGCCGCAAAAACGTCTCTCCACCCAACCCTTATCCGGCTCTAGCCGGGTTTCATCTGCGCGACAACAGGGGCCTCGAAGAAGCACGGTGGCGTTTCGCCCGATCCGATCGCATCTCGAAGGTCAGCAATGATACTTGGGTCATCATCTGAACTCTCTGCATCACATTCGCGTGGCACAAAGCAGGTGAATGCGTGCTCAGCGCGCCCCATCCTGGCCTTGGAGTAAGAAGGGACGATGCACCTGTAGAGCTTCTTTGTTCGGTCTGGAGCGTATGCTGGCAGCTTTCAAGCTTAGAACATGCCCAGTGGGAACTTCTAGGTCCACGCTGCACTCGCCAGCCTCCGCAACTCCCGCGCGCGATGCGCCGTGCATGACAGCGCCGAATTTCTGTGAATCAATCGACCTGCTGAGGAGCAGTAAAAGCCATATAATCAATGAACTCTTGGCCTGGTGTAGCACGAGACTCCTCGGTGCCCGACTGTGAAAACTCGCCGTCGGACGCGCCGTCGACGTCGCAGTGGGCCAGCTCAGAATCAACTGATGCCGCTTCCCACTACTCATCCGACTCGGACGAAACGCTCTCCCACGCGCGGGTTGCCTACTCTGGTGCAACACTCGGCGTGGCCCAGCTTAGCGGCATGAGCTGGACGCGCGTGGGCCCGTGGCCCGCCTCGAACAAAGCGCCCTGCAACAAGGCAGAACGGAAACGCACAGGGAATGGATGGGGGCGGAACGGGAGGGGGGAGGGGGGCTGCGCGCGGCGACAACCACGAACACTCACCCCAGACCGACGGCATGAATAGCCACCCCAGAACAAATGCCACGAATAACCGCCCCAGAACGACGAGCAAGTTGCTCGTCGCTCTGGCGCGCGACCGCAAACGCTCGGCAATCGACCTCGGCCATTGCCACGTGTAGCTTATGCTAGCAAATACCAGGCCGAAAATCAGGAAACCCCAGAACGCGCTACTGAATTCAGGGGGCCGCGGCGATTCAACCGTGCTTTCATGTTTTCCAATACATTGTCAATCGTCGAAAGGCGCTGGTGATTCAACATCTGTTTGGAGGATGTCACAAGCGAAAGACCTATGTCAACAATTCGTTCAATAGTTGATTCAACACTTTGTAGAATAGTTGTTTCAATCGTTTATGCCTACTGTTGCCCTGCTGGGCTAGCGTGATATCGCCCGAGCGTGCGTCGATCTGAAGCGTTTTCCACTCCCCAGAGGGCGCCGCAAACGTTCTGCAACGGAGCTCTCAGAATTTCAATTCCTTCTTCGACTCCCTGAGCCTTTCCACGATGTCTGACCACTCGACCGCCTTGCTGTTCAGAGGTCCCTGACGGACTGCAACTCGACGACGAATTGCGCAATCGCGCGGTTCGCCTCGAATTTCTTGTGGTCTTTCTCCCGGGCGAGCTCTTTCCTGGGGGGCTCGGGGAGTTCTTCAGGTCGCCAACCTTTTCCTTCACCATGTCCCGCTTCTCGCCTCGCGCGAACTTCTAGCCCCCAGTGCCGTCGTTGATCTGCGCGAGGATGTCGACTGTATTGCGGGAGACAGATATGAACTCGTTCTTCACCTTGACCACCTCCCTGGAGAGCAGATCGACCTCCTTCTTCTTCCGTTTCACCTCGGCCTCGTTTTTGGACTGGTCCCTCGCGTCCTTCGAGTCCTTCGGTTCCTTCGGGGGCTTCTTCGAATCATTCGGCGGCGCCTCGGACTGACCGCCTGTTTCGCCTCCGTCCTCGGGGGCGCCAGCTCGAAGGCCACCGTCGGAGGATGGAGAAGACGCGCTCTGCGCCATGTCCGACCGGCTCTCATCGACTGTCTCCTTCCAGCTCTCCTCGACGACCGCAAAGATTGTCATGTTCGACTGGCCGTGCTTCCTCGCAAGTGGGTGGCCCATGGTCAAGCATTTGAGGGCCGCAGTCGCAGCTCCTTTTCGGGCGGCCTTGCATTTGCAACCGCCGAACTCGTCTGCCATTTGCCGAAAGTCATGTACCTGTACTCAACTTTTGTGGACTCCGCCAGCGTAGTCGCGTGGGTATTCTTCTTTGGGGGGCGCCCTCGCTGTCGAGGGCCCATTTCGACCTGCGCTCTTGCTGCTCGTCTCTGCTCTTATTGTCGTAGATCGCACTTGTTTCCTCTCTCTCTCTGGAGCTCGTCGCGGAACCTGTTGCCATAACTGCTCCGCGCGTTGAAGGTGCCCGTCTGGGTGGCTTCCCGCGGCGACGCGAGCAGCTTCTCGTCTTCCGAGCCCAACTTGATTTTGGCGCGGGTATTCTTCACCGGTTCAATCAAACACCCCGCGCGAGCTTCATGGTCGAAAATGTTGCCCATCACCGCGTCGAACTTTGCCATGTTCTCCTCCGCCAGCTGCCCCCCCAACTCGGCCTCCAGCAATTCGCCCGCGCGGCCTTCCGCGACGCCAGTGACCACGTCCTTCTTCGAAGCGGTGGGGGCCCAGCGGTCGCCCGCAGCTGCGCCGTCTGACGAGTCGTCGAAGCCTGCGCTGAAACTCGGCCGTGCCGAGGGCAGGCGCTGGCTGTTCTGGCGCGTGATCAGACTCTTCCGAGGGGCCATCGCGCGCGTCCGCAGGGGCAGTCGATGGCGCCGCCTCGCTGGCCGACGAACTGACAGCTGAGCTCGCGCCGGTGCCGATTCGCCCCGACTGAGTCATGAACTCGTCAATCCTCTAGTATTTGGTGGTGTGGGGGGGGCCAGCCTGCGGGACTGATTCCGCCTCGGGGATTGGTATTGAACGCGTCCGCTGGCGGAGACGGAGCGGGCGGCGCTTTCGACGACGCGTGTTTCTTTTTTTCCCAGCGGGGCCTGCGTCTTCTCGCTGAGCTACCGTTCGCTTCTGGGCCAGGGGTGCCAGGGCTGCGCTTCCCCGGGCCCGATCTGTCGCCGATTGCACGGGTCCGCCTCGAAATCGAATCGGCTCTCGAGCATGAGCTGCTCGCGCGGGGGCCAGGTGTCGGATCGGGGGCAAGGGGCAAGGGCAACGACGGAACGCGGCCGCATGCGTCGCCAATATTGCTGGAAATTTCGGGTTGGACCCAGCCAGAATCGGTCGGCCCCCCTCACTCCCGCTGAATGGTGCGTTTCCCGCGCCCCGCCTCGCCGCCCCCCCTTCCGCTCGCCCGCCCGCGCCCCCCCCCCCCCCCTCCTCCTCATCCGAAGACCATCGCTTCTCTGGAACGATTCCCGACGTTTGATGCCGAGGGTGACTGGCGCAGGGGGAGGGGGGAAAAAGGAGCAATTAATGCGCGCGCACGTGTTGGTACGTGTTTTCTTTGGCGTTGTTGCTGCTGTTGGTGTGGCTGGTGTTGTGGGTGCTGTGGGTGTTGTTGGGAAGTGTTGTTGTTGTGGCTGGTGGTGTTGCTGATGATGTTGTTATTGCTGGTGTTGTTGCTGGCGGTGTTGGTGTTGTTGATGTTGGTGCTATTGTTGTTAGTGATGTTGTTGTTGCTGGCGTTGTTGTTGTGGTTGTTGCTGTTGTTGTTTATGTCGCCGCGATTGTTGTTGCTACGGTTGTTGTGTTTATGTGTTGTTGATGTTGCAGTCGTTGCAGTATTTGTTGCTGCGTTGCTGACTCGCTCTGTAAAATGCCGAATCCAACCCTGACTTCTACCCCCCAACGGTCTGCTCGGACGGGTCCGCATCTGCGAATATCTGGGCGAACGAGCGCCTCGGAGGACCGCGGTCAGCGGCTGGCCCGGGCCGCGCCTTCATTGCCGCGTGGCGCGCCTCGGGGGGCTCAGACGGCGACGGCGATGGCGCAGGTGGCCCCTCGCGAGTGCCGGCGTCGTCGCCCCGCGGCCCGGACGCAGCGGGCCTCTGCTTTGGCGGGGGGGGCGACTGCGGCCTCGCTGGCAGCGGGCCTCTTGGCGGCGACGTCGCCGCCGTGCGCCCTCTTCTTCTTCGCGGGGCTGGCCGTCGTGGAGCTGTCCTTGCCGACCGCCTTCTTAGAGTCGTTCTTGCCGTGGGTCTCCCGCTCGACCATGGCCTCCTGTCTCGCCCCCCCGCGCGCCGTCTTGTCGCCCTGATTGGTCGCGCCAGCGCGGTGCTGCTCAGCGATCGGCTTGGCGATGCTGAGGCCTGCCGCCGCGGCCTCGCGGTCGTTCGGGGGCCTCTGGTGGTCGCCCTTCAAGTCCGCGGACGCGTCCAGGCGCGTCGCGGGAATCTGCGACCCTTAATCCTAGAGCGACATCGCTGAGTGCCAGTCGACCCCCAGGTCGATCTCCAATATGTTCCCAGCGTTGATAGACCCTGCTTCCCCAGAGGGGCCGTCGCTAAACTTCGCCTTGTGTGCTTTTGCCGGGGTCTCCCAGCGCGCCTTCGTCGTGTCGTTGATCTCCCTGCCGTGGCCGTCGCGCCATTCTGCAGCGATCCGGTCGTCTGGGTTGGGCTTCGAAACTTCGGGCGCGTTGATCGGCGGGGGCAAATCTTCCCGCGCCTTTCCCCTGGCGACCTTGCGCCTGATGGCCGGGCCCAGCGCCAAATTCCACCCGGCCGCGTAATCATCCTCTCCGCTGTCGCCCTCGCCATCGGCCCTGGCATCGGCGGGCGCGGGGGGGGGGGGTCGTGGGCGGCGAGCCCCAAGTCGGCAGGCCATCTCGCAGGCTTTCTGACAGACGCCGACTGCTTTCTGGGCGCTATAACATTCATTACGAATGCGGGGCCCCATGGTGTCAACCCAATCCATCCTCTCGGTGCGAATCCTTCATTTTCCATTCCGTCTTGTGGTTGTCGAACGCGCTCTGTTGTAGGCATTGCCTGGTGTCGCCGCTGGTGCTGCTGAGATTAGGGGCGACGCCTTTTCTTGCCCAATGCAGCTTTCTGAATGTTCTTCCCCTCCGGATACTTGACTGGGGATTTGCTGCTCTGCGCAGCGCGTCGCTCGATGACCTCCGTGAGTTTTTGTTGTCCATCAACGTCCAACTTCGATGCAGATCGATGCGCCATTGGCGCGAAACAAAGATAGCATGGAAGACAGAACGGTGCCCTCACCAAAACTTCGTGCTTGAGCCCGAATGGTTGCGAAACTTATTCTGGATGGATAGGTGGCGGGATGGGGGGGGGCGGGGTCGGCGGTGCCGGCAGACAGCCCCGCGAGCCCAGATCATCGAGAGTCGGCGTGGCGTTTCCACAAGGCCTCCGACCTCGGTGCTAGTCCAAACGTTTCAACGCTTTGCCCGCCCCAATCGTTTCATGCTGTTTTGGTGCCTCCGAAGGCACCTTATGTTGCTATGCCCCTTATGTGTAATAGTCTATACAGTGTTTACAAACGTATGATTACAACGCATGCTCGTTTTTGTTGGCACTTGGGGGTGGTGCGCTCCAAGTGATGAGCACGCGCGTGTACACTCACGCAACGCGCGCACACACAAAGACACACACGCACACACGCACGCATTTGTACGCAACGCGTTCACGGACACTTGTTGCACGCGTGGTCCACAGGGTCGGGGAGGCAGCGTCGAGCTGCAAGGCCCGCGCCGCCACGGACGCGCCGCGGAACAGCGCTGCCAAACACAGCCCGTCGGGGCCTGGCGCCCCAAAGGTCTCGACCTCGAGGACGGCGGTCCCGTCGACCTGGTCAGCGGGGTCATGGGTCGGCGTCTCCAGCGCCGCCGTTCGGGTGCAGGCGCCGCCGACCAGGTTGGCCCCACTGAGCCGCGGGCCGTCAACGAAGGTCGCGAGCAAGGCCCCCAGCTGCGCACCAGCTCCGACACCAGCTCCGGCACCAGCTCCGACACCGCGCCCAGCGGCCTGCCAGAGCTCCATGGCCCCTGCGCCTCCAGCAGCGGGGCGAGCCGCCGCGGCGGCGGCCGTCGGGGGTGCGCCCCCGCCGTCAGCCGCAGGAAGGCCTGCAGCGGGGCGCCGACGAGCGCGGCGCCGACCCCAGGAGGGGCTCCGCCCGCCGCAACGCCACCCGATCCAGGTGGCCCGAGCGCCGCCAACCCTGCACCGTCAGGGGCTCCAAGGCCGAGCGCGGGCACGCCAGGGACCACGGGCGCACCGCATGGGGCGCCGCCTCCACCTCCCAGCGGTGCGACTGGAGGGAAGGCCGGCGGGGCGCCAGCTCCTGGACCAGCCCCAACGCCACGGCCACGGCCTCTCGCGCGGCCGACCGCTCGCGCCCGCGGGCCACGGCCTTGGCGAGCCCCTTCGCCTCAGCCTTGGCATTCGTCTTGGCCTTTGCCTTGCCCTTGGGGGGTATCGAACACCCCGGCCAGCGCCGCCAGCAGCGCCGTGAGGTGCCGCGCCTGGTCGAGCAGCACCGAACGCCCCGCCGGCGTCAGCCGCGCCTGCCAGGCGCAGTGCATGGCCAGCGCGAGGAGGCAGCACAGCTCGCACACCTCCAGGAGCTGGCCCTCGCGCGCTGGCGCCAGGCTCTCCGCGTCGCCCAGCCGCCCGCCACACCACGAACAATATCGCCGAGGAGGTGGGTCGGGCGGCGGAGGGTGGGGGCTGGACGGTTCGGCGTCCCCGACGCCGGCAATCCCCTGCTCTTGCCCTCGTGGGATCAGGTCGAGAATCGATGGCAGAAGTGCCTGCGCCACAATAGCGACTGCCATGCATTCCGTTCGCGGCCCTGTCTCGACTTGCATCCCCCGTCCACTCATCTGCCGCAAGCGTATATATATGTATACATATATATATATGTGTACGTATATACACTGTTGGGGGTCCGCAGTGGCCTACATTGAAAAGGTCGTGTTCGTCAGGGCACTGACATATCGGATGCGAACAAGAGACTTCCGCTGAAACGCCCTAAACTTTGGCGTGGGCTCGGGCACAACCGAATGAATCATGTGCGCCGCGTGAGGAACTGCAACCCAACCAAAAAGAACAGGCAAACATCTCCTCCGACGAAGACCAACAAAACCGTCACACCCTGCGGCGCGCACATGCAATGTGAGGTCCTGCTATAATCCCACCAGCCCTTTGGGCGTGAGTGGTTTAGAGAGCCCGCTCTGTTCTCAACCCTCCTTCCCCTTCGGGGAGGGGTTTACCCCTCCCCCTACCCCCTCCCCCTGGGCCTGGAGAGGGGGGGCCGCGGGTCGTCAGGGGGGTCAATTTCGACTCCTGGGAGGGCTAAAAAACGACACCCCTCACGAGGATTCTGGCCCCGACGGGGGGGCGGAGAAAAAACCCTCTCCTCTTCTGTGAAGCGAAAATCGTTGATTTTACTACGGTTTTGGCCTCATTTTGGCCTCCTGAGGGGGCAGCGCTCATTACAGCTCCCCTCTTCCTTCAAGGCAAAATCATTGATTTTACGAAGGGTTTGGGCTCATTTTGCCCTTCTGAGGGGGCAGCGCTCATTGAAGCTCCCCTCTTCTTTGATCGACTTCCTCCAAGATGGCCCCAAGAAGCGCCCAGGAGGCACACTGAGCCCCCAAGATGGCCCCAAGAGGCCCCCAGGAGGCCCCAAGAGGCCTCCAAGAGGCCCCCAAGATGCCCCCAAGAGGCCCCCAAGAGGCCCCAAGAGGCTCCCCCGAGGCACCCAAAACGCTCCTGGAAGCCCCTGGGGCCGCCAAGAGGCCCCCAAGACGCCCCAAACGGCCTCCAAGAGGCTCCCAAGAGGCCCGAAGAGGCTCCCCCAAGGCACCCAAGACGCTCCTAGAAGCCCCTGGGGCCGCCAAGAGGCCCCCAAGACGCCCCAAAAGGGGACGAGGTGCCCGAACGCCTCACGCCACCAGGAGCCCGAACGACTCACACCAGGACGAGGGGCCCGAACGACTCACACCACGAAGAGCCCGAACGACTCACACCAGAAGGAGGGGCCCGAACGACTCACACCAGGACGAGGCGCCCGAACGACTCACACCACGAGGAGCCCGAACGACTCACACCACGACGAGGGCCCCGAACGACTCACACCACGAGGAGCCCGAACGAGTCACACCAGGAGGAGGGGCCCGAACGACTCACACCAGGACGAGGGGCCCGAACAACTCACACCACGAGAAGCCCGAACGACTCACACCAGGACGAAGAGCCCGAACGACTCACACCACGAAGAGCCCGAACGACTCACACCAGGAAGAAGGGCCCGAACGACTCACACCAGGACGAGAAACCCCAAACGACTCAAACCACGAGGAGCGCTTTCTCTCCCTCCTCCTCCGCCTCGTCCTTCTCCCGCTCCCCCCACAAGGAGGATGTACAAGGAGGCGGGAGGAAGGAGGAACAGGGGAGATATGCGGGGCCAAGCGGACACACGCCTGAAAAACACGACTGTCGGCATGCTTCGCAAGAGTTGCTGCTGTGAGATGGGCTGGTGGGGATACGCGAAGCGTAAAGAATTAAGCAACCTGGGGGCACAGGTTTCGCCGACTTTGAGCTTCGCAGTTTGCCCCAGGGGCATGCGGCACCATCGAGCGACAAATCACTTTCGTGGGGCACCCGTTGGTAAGCCAATATCTTATTTGTCGTGCCTACCGTAGATCCGATGTGCCAACAAATCCTGGACCATAAAACCATCCAGAACCTACAGTATCAATCAGCACAACAACACTGGGCGTCTGAGAAGACTAATACTGTCGTTTTTTTCTACACCCTCTCGTACTCCGATCCAATCACTTAGTAGGCCTCTTAATGGAACTTCGAACTCCAGTTCGATATTTCCTGACATGCGACATGGACGTTGAAACACTCCAGCAGTCTCTCGCAGTCTCCTGAGGTCTCAAGGGCTCAGTCCCCTCGCCGCCTCTTTCTTCTCTCCCATTGAGGGGGAGCGTCAGGGGGGGATTGGCTCAGCGGAGGGGAAGCACCGACCTGGAATCGGGGATACATCGCCGATCGATCGGCGATGGCCCTTGATAGCGAATCCGCGCGTCCCTGGGCGGCGTGGGCTATGGGGCCCCTATCGGCGATCAGTGGATGATCAGTGGGCGATTGGGGGTCGGTTCGTTCCTCTCTGAGCGAATCCCTCATCCTGGGGCCGAGAGTAGCAAAACCCTCCGGCCGTGATATTTCCATGACTCGACGGGGTCACGGAACGGTGCCCCTGACCCATCCACTCCACCTTCCCCGCGTTCTGCCGCACACCTTTGCGCTCCGCTCCCGCGCTCTCCAGCCGTTGCCCCCCCTTGAGTAGAGAGCAGAAAGTCCACCCTCATAATTCGCCGAACCAGAGGCGTGCTAAGATCCCCGGTAACTGCGTACAGTATTTCTACTTCGCGTGCGCGCGCGGAGCGGCCCTTGGGGGTCCCCGGACGAAAAGTACCCCAGGCGGTCCCCTGCCGTGTCTGGTCAGAGATCCCCGGCCGGGTCGGGTCGGGTGGGCGCCGCCCTCGAGGCCCTCCAGAGAGCTCCAAGAAGGGCCAAGAGGCCCCCAAGAGGCCCCCAAGACAGAACAAGATGGCTCCGAGATGCCACAAGATCGCTCCAAGATGCCCAAGACTGCCCCCAGACGCCCCAAGAGGCTTCCAAAGGCACTCCCAAGAGGGCCCCAAGAGGTAAAATTCATTGATTTTCCTTTGGATAGAATTGGGCGTTTCCCCCTTTTCGGCTTCCCGACGCCTCAAGACGGGCCAAGAGGTCCCCAAGATCGCCCCAAGAGGGTCCAGGAGGGCCTCAAGAGAGCCCCAAGACGGTCCAAGAGGGCTCCATGACCGCCCAAGACGACTCCAAGACGGTCCAAGAAGGCCCCAATAACGCCCTCAGAGAGGCCCTCGGGGAGGAGCTCGAAACAACATTTCGAGCCCTCGGCCGTAAGCAGCCCCCAGGAGGTCTCCAGAGGTCCCTAGAAGGCCCCAAGGGGCCTCCAACAGGCGGTCAGGAGGCCGCCAAGAGGCCCCCAAGAGCCCCAAAAAGGCTCCCAGTTCCCCGAAAG